TGTTGAAAATTCGAATTTCGTTCCTTATGCTGAGTGCATAAGATTTCCACATTGCTTTCAGAGTCATGCAGGTCTGCTTTGTCTTTCTGATTCTGACTGGTTTTGAAATCCTCTTGCGTGCCACCCACCTGTAGTTGAAACGAAGTGCTTTCTAGATATATGAAGGAAGCAACGTCTTTCAAATTTCTTCCGTTGATAATGATTGATGCTTGCTGTTGTTGGTTGGTTGGTTATCTTCATCACCCGTTGTTATCCTTCTTCTCTATGCCCATCTAAAGTCCTTTCCTCGCTGCTCCTTTTGTTAACTTGTTGGGTTTCGCTACCGAACCTTCGAATTTATGTGACCGGTAAAGTAAACCCTTAGAGATCTGTGAAAATTGTGACATTGGAGAAGTTATATGAAGAATCTGGTGATGATTCAAAAAAAATACATTCAATTCATCTACTATAAAAGATAAGCTTCAGTGCTTAATTAATTCTCCCTTTTTCAACAAAATCTCCCATATTTTAGAATCATAAACTGTACCCATACAAAAAACTTGGAAGATCTGGAATTGACCGATGACGTATGTCTGATTTTAATAATAATAATAATAACAGCTTTATTCCAAACAGTATTTGTGGTACAGGTATGGAATTTTCAGCGTGCATTACAGTATATTGCATCTAATTACCTCATAAATTATATAAGATTTTTAAAAATCAAAAATAAATAAAAATAAAATAAATAAGTTATAAATAAATAAAATAAATAAATATTAAAAATTAAGAAAAAAAACAGCGTAGAGTATTTCATTTCAAACAATGCACCACAGGATTTGAAATATAAAGTTGATGTGTGGTTGTAGATGAGAACAACAGTGTAGTAGTAACGAGGAAAGGAAAACAAAAACTAATGGGACTATTTGTTAGAGTGCCGCAGTAAGTTTATCGTGTCATACCTAACGGATTTCTCATCACATAACAGCTGTGCCAGATATGGTATTGTGGAGTTTTTGTATTTGGTAGTCCTAGCATATAGCCTCCTATAGCTGCTTCTAGTTCTTCCAGATGAAATGCAAGGAGATAGATGCGTATAGAGAGGATGCTCGGGGTCCGACAATATTGTATTCGCTAGTTTCTTACATGACATTATATGTCTATCTACAATAGTGTTCACCAGTTGGTCTAACGATATCCCACTTGCCCTACTAACAGCTTTTAGTGCCCTTCTCAGCGAAGCAAAGTCTTTCTTAAGTAGTCCAGGAAAGACTAATGGGGAGCAGTAAAGGAGGATGGGTAGAATACAAGAATTTACAAACTGAGAAAGTAAAGACTGGTTTATGCCAGACTGCCTAAATTTCCTAATGTAGAACGTTAAGCGAAACATCTTTCTAGTAACTAGCAAGATGTGGGAAGACCAGGAAAGATCGGTGGAAAAACTCAGCCCAAGGAACTTCACATTAGATGTATTTTCAACCTCTGTGCCGTCAATGAGAGTGGGGCCATGTGAGCTAACTAGTTGCTGTAGGTCACATTTACGTCTGAAAGTGAAATTGACTACCTGACATTTAGACGGATTAAGCTTAAGTCCGTTTGAAGAGGACCACTGACTAATTTCCGACAGAAAGCTATTTAATTTGGAACAATCTGACTGAGAGTTGACAGGCATAGAAACCGAGAGGTCATCGGCATACTTAACAAAAGTGGCTACATCAGAATGAGGCAAGTCATGTAAGAAAAACGAAAACAGAAAGGGAGAGAGAACAGCGCCTTGAGGAACGCCTGCTAAAGTAAGTGAGGTAGTGGAGGATTTTCCATTGTAGACGGTGTACTGCTTCCTTTCAGAAAAATAGGACTGCAACCACTTATTTGTCCAGCTTTCAGCCTGTGTTGCAGCAAGCTTACTTAGCAAGAGAGACCTGGGAACAGAGTCAAATGCAGATGTGTAATCAAGGAAGGCACAGCGAACGTATTTAGCCCCTTTATCTAAACTAGAGACTATGCTATGGTGGAGGACGACAGCGGCATCTAACGTACTCCTACTATGTTTATAAGCAAACTGGTTGGGGTCGTTGAAAGGTTTTAAAGAGGGATCAAGATTAAGTAAAATAAGTCTTTCCATAACTTTCAAGAAAGGTGAGGTAATTGAAATAGGTCTAAACTTAACATTAGGTCCACTTGTAGATTTAGGCACTGGAACGATCTTGATGTTTTTCCATGATTCAGGTATAATACTTTTGGAAAACTGGAAGATATGCAAGTGAAAAGCAACAAGTTGGAAGAAGAAGCATCAAATATAGCAAGGACTTCAGGTGAACATAGAAAAAACAGGTGATGAAGATTCTTGGCCAACAACAACAGACAACAACCAGCATAGATGGGAGGAATCTGAAAGAAACAACCTCCTTCACCTACCTGGGAAGCAACGTTTCAAATACATGCGGAAGTGATTAGGATATCAAAGCAAGGATCGGAAAAGCAAGACAAGCTTTCATTACTATCAAGTCTGTGTGGAGACTAACAGCACTCAGCATCAAAAATAAGATCCGGATTTCCAACTCCAATATGAAGTCACTGCTACTATACGAACCATAGAATTTGCGCTGCGTCTCGAAGGGCACTTCGATTAAACTACAGACCTTCGTTAGCAGCTGTCATTGCTCAATATTACGCAAAATCAGATGACCGGCCAGCAAAGATCAGCAATAGGGAGGGATCTCTGACAATGAACGAACCAATCCAGCAGGAACCGACTACGCAACAAATATGTAGGAAGAAATGTCGGTGGAACGGCCATACTCTGAGAAAACAAACCATCAAGTGACGTCACATCCCAGGCCATTGCTCGAGTGGAACCCGAATGGGAAGCGGCGAGCTGGTCGTCAGTGCAAGGGTGAGGTGACACGGAGGAGGTTATGTGAAGGGGAGATGAAAGCATGTGGGCGGACGTGGAGCCAGGTAAAAGCGTCAGCGGAGAACCGAACGCAATGGAGACGTGAGGCTGAAGCTCCTTGTTCCTCTAAAAGAGCTCATCACTTTGTAATGACCACTTATTTTAACATTCTAATAATACTTAAATGCTTAAAGATAGCTAGCATTGGCTGCAGACTATTAACAGATAAAAAAATCATGGATGACCAAAACACACCAGACAACTGTTTCATTCTGCCTGAGGACACTACGGTAGTACAAACAATATACCACAAAGTTTCTCAAATATTACTGACAGCCCAGCCACTGTCAGAATCTGAAGACATATTTTTTTACCCTTGTCAATATATGATATCATTACAATTCATCTTTGTCATCCATTACTCCCTCTAATTTAACTAATCACATACGACCTTAGGGAAATAAATGTTATAAGTTTTTACTCGTGAATAGTAAGCGAATTACTCAGTGGTGTGATTTATGAAAGAATTACCTAATTTCAGGATAGTTTCCAGTAGTAATCAGCAATTCAAATTGAAAAATAAAACAAGAAGTGGAAAATGCTTCATTCTACCTCACGTCTGTAGAAAGTGACATCAATTAGGATTTCATTGACAAGCATTACCACCATTGAAGCATTGTCAGTGTTCGGTGAGACTATTACATCAACAGTGTAGATGTCAGATAAAGAATACTGAGTAGTTGATGTGTCACACATGCCCGTTCCCATTTACTGTATCTTCATCAGACCGACACTTGCCAGTAACCCACAGGAGTCGCTGAACATTAGTCAAACAACAAACTGAAACAACTTGGAAAAGGCGTACTACTTGACGATTAATAATTAGCTAAATAATAACACATTAGTTATGAAAATCTCAGGGTTTTTGAGTTCAGTGCACACTGTTGAGTTTTACACAAATATGGGACAGCTATTTTATGCTATCTAGTTTTGTAATAAATGTTTGTCTAATTTCAACGGACGTAAAATTAAGCAATTTTCTGAAGAAACCATCCATACGAATACTACTCTTTTACTTTACACTTTTGATATTCAGATTTATTAGGTAGTATAGGCACAAAGGTAATATGGCTAAACTGAATTCACAGGTGAATTTGTAAGACAATAGTTGAAAGTTGAAAATAAAGGCTAATCAACTGTAACCAGGCTTCCCTTTTTACTTAAGAATAAAGTTAACTTTAAAGTATCTAGATTAATATATATAAGAAAAAGAGATGAACTGTTCTTATTGGATGGCTGGAGGAAACTGGAAGGAAGAGTTGGACCGAATCGCTTAGTGGTAACGTCTGTGACTGCAACGCTGGGTGACACAGGCTCGAATCTCAGAGTTGACATGTGTTCCTTCAAGTTTGCAGATACGCCTTGCTGAGTGGTGAGCGCCAACAAGCACGAAGCTTGAGCCCAAGACTTCATGCTGATTGCCTACAACCAATCAATACCAACAATTTAGAGTGCACCGTGACGGCGAGCCACCTAGTGGCATGATGGTAAACTTGACTAATAGAATTCAGTATGGATCGTACAGAGGACTAAATGCATGGCACTAGTTACTTACTGCCCTGTGTCCAATCAAAGTAAAAAGAAAAGGACGAATTTACCGATTAGTTGTACACTCAATAATTACCAAGATGGCACATCCTCAATTCTAGTGGGTCCCTAGAGAAAATTAAAATATCACAGACCTACACATACTTAACATACATATTTAGCATAGTGTGACGTTACTATGCGTTAGTCTGGATTTTGAAAAGAACTATTAGCCAGTTTGAACAGAGAAAATTAAAATGTGAAAGTTTTAACTGACACAGGTGACAGTTGTTGTATGCGACCGAGACACACGAGCAAGTTTTAGCCACCGCACTTTAATCCCAAATATACTTTAGATGGTTCCTTGGAATCATATTCTGCATTCACTTAGCCTATAATTGCAACATTTCGGAAAGATGAACTCATATACCAGTATTCCTCTGATTAACTAAGTTAAATGAACATGCATTTAATACTCTGAAAGTAATCGTTCAATCATAAGTATACATTCGGGAAATAACCAAAACACAAACCTTACCTGTAAAACTTGATGGGGTTTTAAATTTAATTCTAGATTCTGAGAAAGCACTGACACAAGTGTACTGTAAAAAGGAAGAAAAACAAGTAGGTTGAAAAATTTTAAGAAATTGCAGAATATAGATATTTCAAAAATGGTTATAATTGAACACAGACATTCACTTTTCATCTGCATAGCTAAACGAGTAATATGGATTTTCAATCGATTACATGTATGCAGGCCACTTAAGTCAAGTATACATGTGTATTTACCAGTTTAACTGCTCGAGCGGAGCTAACCACATTGTGCGTACAATCAGGCAAGTTCACCGTCGACTGAAGTTATACGCAGCTCAATGCTAGCTCATCTCATCGATACTGGAGATCAGATTGACTCTAACAAAGTTTTTAAAATTGTTTATCATATTTCACCCAACTTCTTGCACGGTCTAGAAGTACGACTTTTATATACAGCACAAAAAATCTAAATTCTTCTGGACAAGCTATATATGTGTTCAAGTATTGATTTGTAAGGATTTGATTGATCGATTACAGGATTTCATCATGAGCTGACATCAGTTAGAGAACCACTGGGAAACCTGGGAGTACTGGACAGCTGTTTCGTCCCAGTCTGGGATTCTTCGTCAGTATGCACCCACCGGGGATTCACGTTTGTGCATCCCTTTTCTTTGACCTGGTCAAATACACAATATTTATTGGGTTTTAAAAACGACTTCTCTCTCCCCTTTTAACTAACCTATGACTTTGTTATTTTATTGTGATTACAACTCTAGCTAATTCAATTAACCTGTTTGTGTCTTGGTATTCTTATGTAATTCCACATAGTCATCATTATTTTACAAATCTCTCGATTATGCAATAACTTGTTTCTGGCCTTACGAATTAACGGATCTTGAGTTCCATAATTATTTTCACTCCTCCTTCTAAACTTAGCTATCTTGTTGCTAACATCTACTAGTAAATTATTTTGATGAACTCCCCTCCACAATACTCAAAACTGTATCGGTGGTCCAGTGGTAGAACGCTCGCCAGTCACGCACGTGATTCAGGGGTTCAGTCACCATCTAATGCACTCCTCAACCTCTCCAGCAAGGCCAGTAAAGAGGGTAAGTTAGGCGTGAGGTTGGCAATCTCACCGCGTAAACAAAAAACCACTACTACAGAAAATGCAAAGCTCTAGCTTGAAGCCCTATGTTCCACCAGAAATGGAAAGTAAAAAAGTTTTTTTAATAACGGAAAAATAGAGTGATAGCAATACAGAATACATTTCACAAGACATCAAGGTTGACAATTTACCTTTTAAACTTCAAAGATGAGTAAAATAGCAGTTTTTGAGCTAAAAGCTCATGGAATATTGGAAAATATATGTGCTACTATTCGAAGGATTAAAAAATAAACTTTATGACACTTTGTGGTGTCTCAAGTCTAGGTAAGTATCAAGGAATTGAACTTTTAACCTAATGATAGGGAGTTATGTCACCAAGTCAATGAGCCACTGTCTCTGACAATCTTAAAATCAAACTGCCTAGCTTTTGTGACATAGACAAGTGCTTTATTTATCGAAAAAGTCAGAAGTCACTTGCTATATCTTGCGATAGCATATGTTTGTCAAATTACTTAAATCTTACGTACTAATCAATAAACATTTTTATTCACCTAACAAAACAAAGAAGCAATCATAAAAGCATATACTATAAAAAAATTTAAACCTACTCGGTATTGAATGGAAGCGTTGCACCATTTTCTGATTTCATGTTTCCTACAAAAATAAATACACTTTTGGTCCTCAAAAGAAACATAAACATAGCCATTTCGAAGTACAACAACATTATGTGAAATTCATGATTGATGGAATTTATATCTGAAATAAAATTAAAGGATTTCTCTATGCACAGTATAAATTTTCATCAAGCGATAGACTTTTAAGAAAGATCTATCACCGGATAACTGCCATTTTATATTTTTCCCAATTATTAGGGTATGTAGTAAAATTCTGCTAACAAAATATTGTTTTTGTGATCCCAAAAGTCCAGAAATCACCATTCGCGTTATGTAAATAGTTACAGATTTTCACACACAACTAGAGATACTATCGGATATTCTTGTTATTTGTTTCTGTTAACAACACACTGTCAGCTTAACTTTACATGGCAGTTGAAAACCAGTGAAAATCCACAGAATTTGAATGGAGTACACAATATATGCTGTACAAAATTAATGATGTAAATTTCAGTCACTAAATAGCGTTGTATTTTGTACAAACAGAAGCAAACCTCTTAATATATAATTACAGTCACATATTTCGGATATGAAGACACACCTAGCGAAGAAAGACTCTCATGACATACACCATAGGTTAATAGTTAGATGAAATATTTCGCCTATCACTGAAGATCTATTCCTCAGAAACCGTGCTACAGAATCATCAGTAGCTATTTTCTTCAATTAACTTCCTTATAACACTAACAACTATGTCCTTAGTTATCTTCATTTTTTGTAACCTGGCTCCAAAGATCATTATCAAGAATGTAAACTGCCGAAAAAGCTAATTTCTGTTGCTGTTCTTCCCTGAGATGCTTAAAATGATTTTCCTGTGAAAAAATTGCTTATCACCGAAACAGAAAAAATCACTGAGGTTATTAGTAATTCTGCTGGAAGGCTAACAGTTATCTTTATTCTAAAGCGCACTGCCAAGAAACCTCGGAATAACATACTTAGAAACACCCCCGAGTAATTTTATGCAAATACAGAAGAACAAACCATTTACAACCATTTTACATCCATTCAGGTGAGAAAATCACGCAACACTGACTATTGCATGCTAATAATCAAGATTCTTATTAAGTGAAAACAGGTGATAATTAATTCCATCACGGACAGAATTTATTTTGATAGTCACAGTGTTGTACAGTAATATTTACTGATGACGTTTCGAGCAAAATTTATTGCTGCTCATAATCATATCAAAGTACTCACATAACTACTTTCTTACTTCGTCTATATACATGAGTAAAAATTGATTAGACATTTGAATGAAATCAACATAGGATAAAGTAGATTCGGAAACAATATTAGTATTACCAATATAATGCAATAAGATGGGAGATAAGGTGTTTTTATAGTAAAGTAAATAACTTCTTAGAATGCTATAATGTGAATTGAATATATTTTAACATTATTTATTATCTGATTTGGCTGGTAATAGTATCTTCCATATCTCTGGTATTTGCGTTGACTCACCTCTATTGAACGTGTTGCGTGTAGATTCGATGAACCAGGATTCAGTAATCAATCTCTCTCCACCTAACTGTATTACTGTATTACTCTTTAGAATTTTGACTCTGTCCCACCCTACTGTGTGGCTGTGTGTTAATAGGGCGATTGCTAAGTTTTTCCTAAATTACACATCTCTCTTCGTGCGATCAGTCATTCTAACCTTAGATAAATTCTTATGTTCTGATAGTCTGACTACTTCCGATCTTCCAGTTTGACCTAAGTAGTTGACCTCACAGTCATTGCAAGGTAATTCGTAAATTATATTATTTTGTTTAGTTGGTTCCACTGGATCGTTTTGTCTACAGAGCTCATCTCTGGGTGAGTTTGTAGGTTTGAATGCTACCTTAATTGCTGCTTTATTAGGAATCTCAGATATCCCCCCCCCTACGCAGGATTCTACCATACACGTATTTTATTGAAACTGAACATGGAAGTATGAATAAGGATATATATATATATATATATATGAGGATAAAACTTGAGCAGTGTGGTAGATAACAATTCCATTCAACGTACAATAGAAGTGAATGAATGCAAATACTAGATATATAGAAGATACTATTACCAGTCAAATCAGATAATAAATAATGTTAAAATATATTCAATTCACATTATAGCATTCTAAGAAGTTATTTACTTTACTATAAAAACACCTTATCTCCCATCTTATTGCATTATATTGGTAATACTAATATTGTTTCCGAATCTACTTTATCCTATGTTGATTTCATTCAAATGTCTAATCAATTTTTACTCATGTATATAGACGAAGCAAGAAAGTAGTTATGTGAGTACTTTGATATGATTATGAGCAGCAATAAATTTTGCTCGAAACGTCATCAGTAAATATTACTGTACAACACTGTGACTATCAAAATAAATTTTATCCATAATGGAACTATACTCTACCACAGTGCCGAAGTTTTATCCTTATAGGCGATAATTAATGACGAACAAAACTGATGGCCAGGATGCTTAGATTTACTGTTAGATGACGAACAGTCCCCTTAGGACAACATTTCTCATTAACAAAATTGCTGTAAGTAGGTGATTCGCAATCTCTTTGAAGATCAAGTCATCCCACTTTCAGCTTCAATTTTGTAACTGTCTTGTTTGTACATTGGTAACTTTGTAGATTGCTTCTATAATTAAAGGTGAATGCATTTTATGCACTTGTTAATTCATACTCTGACATCCTACTTAGCTCTCTTTAATAAAAAGGGCTTTCTGAGTGGACCTACATCGCCAATATCAGTCATGATCGTCTACTGATACCTTTCCAATAAACTACCCATACGCTAAAACCTATCAACAGCTACAAGTTACAAATTATAACAGCTACACAAAGAAGCCATAGTCATATGATATGAGCAATCGTCTGTGCTCGAAAATTCATCAGTTAATCTTACTGTACAACACTGTGATTTATCAAAATAAAATCTTATCCATAACATAGATATGTTTCGATACGTTTTACAACACAAAAATGTTCACTGGTATCTGAAAACTACCATTTTTTAAGCAAAAATGATATTTGACTTCATCTATTGGGTGGTACTGTGCTTCGTTTCATTTTACGACTGTGAAAAATAATCGTGAAAATAGTGATAGAACTACACATCACTGTTAGTAAATCTATTCAGACACCCCTGACACCTTGGTCGGCTAGGTTTTGAAGTTACATTACATACTGTAAATCACTGTCTTGTTCAGCGGACAATGTTAGCTGAAGCACAATAAAGTCTTTAAAGAGTTATGGGGAGATTACACCAAAACATATCATCAACCTATGAAGTTCTTTTGAGCCACAAAGATAACCTCACAGATTGGATCAATTTAATGCCTCAATATCTCTCCTTCCTTTCTATCCTTCGGATTTTAAAAGTCACAGAACTTTTACCTGTCCCCTTCATAAGGAGCTGAAAATGAGCGGAGAATGAATAAATAATAGTTGAAATATAACGGTTTCTGAACACTGTTAGTAATCAACATGTAATTGGAAAGTCCAGGCTAAACAACGGGTGAAATGGGGAAATATTGCTTAAATAACCGTTAAGATGGGAAAGTAGTGGTTAAAATGTGGAATATACTGGTTAAATTTCGATACAATGTTGGTTAAATAACAGGAAAATATCAATTAAGTGACGCTAAATTTTGGTCAAACAATTTTATAAATAGGGAAAATTATGTCATATAACCAAGACTCAACTATCTTAAGATGGTAATAATTATTACTAGCCGCGGCTAGTAATTGGCACGAGTGCCAATCATCCACCTATTTTACCACTTTGTCCGAATGTTTTATTCCCTAAGCATAATAAAAACCCGAGTGGGGCAAGAAACGAACATCTACTATGGTTATGTTAACTACCATACACCTATGTATTCGTTAGAATGAGATCTCATTGTATCCTATTTAACAGAAGAAGTTAAGTTTGATGTTGATGCAAAAATACTGGCAAGCAACACCTTTCACTATCAGAAAGAAATGCATTGATTAATATACATAACTTGCAACAAACACACGCAGTTACCTATAATCACAAAAAATCTAGGCACTAGACTGTCATAGTCAAAGCTTGCGGGAGAAAACCAAGGTCGCCCTATTCAACATGTTGACTTTCCCAAACATACAGATTCACGAAACCTTGGTTTCTAACTAGCTAGTTAAAGTCCTATTCGTCCCTCTATAGTATTTCATGCGCCTTAGGTAAACTATGAGTTAGAGAACAAGCGTAGAACAACGGAGATATGAAGGTGAAACCCTGAAAATGTCGATATTACTATTACTACTTAAACGTTGCTAACAGTTCGCCCTGCTCACCATGGTTCCACGTCCTAATTTTTGTGAAACGTAGACTAGTAGATATAGCTATCGACTACTTCAAATATACAACTTAAATATCTGATGAATAACTAACACTTGGATTAAGTTGCCTTCGTCCGTTACTCACATAAATGTAAGTGTTGCACACTACTGCGTAAGTTAATCTATGGATGATGATTACGCTGATATGAATCGTTAAAAAGTGTTTTCAAATCCCTATGCATATCTACGAGATTATCATATGGAATCAGTGTGAGAGAATACAGCTCAGGAGTGAATTTGTCAGACGTAACTCAAAAGTTCCGTTCAGCTACGTCACTGACTTTTGCCTTTCATTTACGAAACGCTACATAATGTTGGCATGCGGTCTTTCGTTTTATTAACTCTTGACAACCTCTTCTGAGTATGAAGAGATTACATTAATTTGGTCGACGTCTTAACCGCGATAGTCTGACGTTATATAGAAGACAACTACCGGTGGCTGATGACGTCATTTACCTTAAAGGAACTAGGAAAATTTAGCTCACTTAATGAGAACGTTGAAATACGTATCAACTTAAATATGGATTATGATGAAATTGTGGACGAAAGGCCACCTGGATGTTGTCCCCAGACATGCCTGGATATAGTAACACCTGGGGAAAACCGAATATACTGGTGTGGAAGTAAAATAACTTCGCAATGGTGGTCTCAAGCAACTGGCTGCTTTGTATGTGGGTCGAAAGGTTACAGAGATACTGAATATAACTTATTCCGTTTCATATATCTAAGTGAATAAAACCACTCTAGAGGCTGACTGTATCGACATCACGTGTCATAAGTGATGAAGTTATCCGCGAGTAGTTTATGAAATAGTGACAATTTAGAAGAATATGCAGTAGTCATCAACGCAGTGGAAAAGTATCAAAAATCCGGTAATTATGCAGTTGAGTGTAAACTTCAAAAAAATGAGTAGGACATGCAAATGTACAGTGTGGACACGTAACAGTGATAACAGTGAATTGGTGGCCACAGATAAAAGCCAACGATTGGGGAGAAAATGGAGGCCATTGTAGAGTAAGAAACTGAAAAACTTTTCAGTACACCAAGTTCGGGGTTACACTGGCGAATATCCAGCGACATTGTTATATGTGGATGCCGAGACCTTGCGCCGCCTAAGCTGTTCGATCTCGACTTTTTCTTAACCTCGAAAGAAGGATTTGGCGGAGCTGCATCACAGCAGTAGTTGCTCGAAAATTGAGCCAATTATCGTGTAGCAGCCAAGACACCGATAACCTTCAACGAATGTACCTGCTCCCAATCTTTAAGCCGAAATCCTTAATAAAAAACGGATTTACTCAAAGAGATTTGTAGCAAAACCGAAACTGGTGGATATACTGCAAGGTTCACTAGTCTATTTAGCAAAACGCTGACATCGGCGCCTGTGTCGACTAAGTATCGAGTCTGGCTTATCACATCATGGATGTAAAGAAGGAGGCTAGTGCCCCCGGCGACGGTTGCCGCCAACACGTGCCGGCGGGATAGTTTCCCACAGACTTTGAGACATTTCCGAAGTTACAAGGTGTCAATGGAGTTGAAGATTGAACGATCAATTCTTGGTTGTTTGCTCAAAACCAACTTCCCCAATTTTCGCGGAGGCATCAATACGACAGTCATCGTCTCATCGGTCGCTGTTCAGAAAGAAGAGTAAAATATCGTCAGAAGTAATATAACGATTTATTATTGTAATATTTGTTTACAGACCTTAGTTCGCTTATTCTTTTTATATGTTGGTGTAACAATAAACAAATATCAAGCGGCAGATCGGTGTTTTGGTTTTTGCGTCCGTTATAACTAAGCGTTTCTGAAATCTTCGAAGAACAGCGTGGGCCCGAGCGTAGCGAGAGCTGGGCATTAACGGTTTATGAGACGTGATTGACAGTTTCTGACGATAGAAACAGATCTGGCGGATTCAAACAGTTGGTGAAAGTTTGGATAGTCGCCGTTCATTTTCCTGGTGCCGGTCAAGTCCTCTTTGAACAAGCAATATCTGGAACTTTTTGGAATTGGGTCAAGTTCAACAATGCCTGGGTCAAAGAAGGGACAGAGTGTCTTGGATGCAAACAGGAAAGTAAGTCATGGTGACTTGTCTGTTAATTGTAACGATGTGTCTGATGTTAAGCATGACATGGTTGATGTTACTGTTTCGCCGTTCAGGGATAATAGGAACATCAAACTCCCTAAATTAGAACCACGGTGTTTTGATGGAAACCCGGCTGATTATTTACAATTTGTAAAGGAGTTTGAGATCATGTTGAGTGGTTTTTATTAAATGATGAATTGAAGTTAATGTATTTGATGAGATATTGCACTGGAGATGCTGCAAGAGCTATACAGTGTTGTAAGTTTATGAAGCCAAAAGAGGGCTACGATGAGGCTATGAGCATATTACGTCAAAGGTTTGGAAGACCTTCGATGATTGCAGGGAAATTATTCGAGGCTGTTAAGGGTAATGGTGGTCAATTACAGGATGACTCCCAGGCACTCACTGAGTTTTTAGATAATTTGCTAATTTACAAGAATGGAATGATTTCGATGAATCGCATGAGTGACCTCAACTCGAGTTTTATACTAGAAGTAATAGCAAGACGTCTACCTACTCGACTGCAAAGGAAGTGGGTGAAGATAAGCTCCCGTATGGAGGATGAGGGTATCGAGCCAAAGTTTGATGATATCCTGAAACTGGTAAAAGATAGTGTCAATCAATCTATGAGCAAGTTCGCCAGTCTATTGGATCTCACCCCTAGAATAGAGCAGTCTGAGGGTAAAACGCAATCATTGATGACGAAAGCGCCTCAGAGAGGTGGATATCGAGAAGACTCCATGATGTCTAGTAATGCATATAGACCTAGTGAGTGTAACAGGTTTCGTAGTACAAGATGCAAGACAAACACGGTTGTGTTTTACACGTTTGCAAGAGGTGCATACAAAGGTGAACTGTGAACCAGTGAGCAAGTTCAGTGATAAGCTAAATGTAAACTCCAGGTCTGACTCCGAATTGTGTGACGATAACGGTGTTGTGAAGAAGTCTGTAGTTGCAACTGGTAAGCCATTGTTGAATAGAGTGTCACAGAATAGAGTTACTGCTTCAGAGTGCAGTTCTGACTCCACAAGTTTACAAAGTATAACTAGTCAGAGTGAAGATATAAAACCTTTAATGATTTGTGAGGAGGAACCAAAATTGTCTACTTCTGTTATTAAAGAGTTTGAAAATGATGAAGTTGACAGAAGATGGTAAATTGAATATTTGTGATAATGATCATGATACTTCACAGTTGTCTTTGGTTGATCATGATGAGATGAGGGATATGCCTACTACTGCTAAGTTAAATAAAGGTTCTGTACAACTACAACGTGAAGTAGAATTGAACGCAGATGCAGTTCCAGAAGGTGTGCATACTTGTGAGACAGTCAGTGTAATTGATCAGCGTGTAGCCCACCTATCATCAGATGATAGTGCTAAACCTGAGCTGATAGTAAAAGACAGCAGTGGTGGTGGTCTTGCAGTTAGACAACTATCTGAAAGCCGAGCAACAACAGCTTCTGATCCACCGCTAACTTCATCAACTGGTATCAATCAGTCGTCGTTGGTGTTGTCATCCACAATGAAACAGACGCCCATCAACTCAAGTATCTTGTGCAATGACTATGCTAGTATCAGTTCGTTTGAAAGGACGAATATCAATGGTCAGTTTAGTGAGGATAAGCCAAGTGTAAACGAGAGAGTAATTGTTAAATTGACTTGCATGAATAAAGGCATTTCTAGTTTCAAGTTACTATTTGAATGTTATTATCTTTGGTGTAAATTACTCTGTTTCTACGCTTGGTTGACCAGATACGTCGTGTGTTTGTTCGTCATCTATATTCTACGATACAATGACATGAGCGTGTTGCCGTTCAGATTTGAGGATATAGCTGATAGAAGGAAGTCAGCAAATGAACTCTGCGACGATTTTCCAACCTAGGGCGTCAACCTGAGAAGGGTTGTAGGCGTACTGCTGTAAGTCCTACAATTCTTCAAAGGGTAGCGCATCAATGAGCAGTCCAATGTGCTTGGTGTGTGATTTTGTACATATGTTCATATTGTATATACTGAATTGATATCATCTGTCATCTAGCTGTTGGTAATTCTGTTTGTGTCCGGACGACTTCCACTTGGATCATCAACCTGAGAAGGAATGTAGGCGTACTGCTGTAAGTCCTACAGTTCTTCAAGGGTAGTTTGTCGTGCCAGAATCCACAACATTTGATGTGTTGATTGTACATATGTTTGTGTTAAATAATTGTGTGAGTTCCAATTATTGTAATTGTTGGTTAATCTTGTTTGTGTCCGGACATTCCACAACTTACAATCGTCAACCTGTGAAGGGTTACAGGCGTACTGGTGTAAGTCCTGCAATTCTTCAAAGGAATTCCACCAAGACATGATCCGCGAGGTTATTTGTACTGTTTGTGTATACGTGTGGTGTGTCATATCAATTGGTGTTTTTGGATTCATTGTGTTTACTTGTTGTTTTCGTATCTTGTTTTTATTGCATAATTTTGTTAAAATTTTCGTCGTGATTACTTCTGAAGTTGTGTCCAGTCTTCTACATCCGTGAATGAATTGATTGATGTTAAGGACAGCAGATGGGTCGTATACGCCGGGGAGGCTAGGCTATTGCTGAGAATGAAATGCACACGGAGATAATTGTTAGCTGCGGTCCGACACGCCGGGGAGAAAGAGTGTAAACGACTGA